AAAAATTTGCTTAATGAGAGAACTAAAACAAAGAATTTGTATTTGAGAATGGGTCAATGTCAGATTCTTTCTGTCACAAAGAGTAGGTTTCCTGGATGATGATTGCTTACCAAGGGCCTGAGAGATATGCACCCCCATGTCCCTCAGGGGGCCCCCCACAGGGGACAAGGGAAAAGGAAACTTCATCTATTTCACATAGAGCCTTGCACTAGTCATGCATTCTTAGCATTCTTTGTTGATGGACAGTCCCAGCTGGGACAGCTGAACATCAAGAGCCTGACCTCTGAGAATACTTTCCTATGCTAATACTTTATTACTCTTCTTTTGAAACAAGTCCCACTCTCAAATTCAGCTGCATTGGTTTCATTCAAACTTCTGATGAACATGCACTGTTTTCATTCTGGGTCCATTCTCAGGTTTGACTCTAACCTTGCTTCTGGCATAAACATTAACTTAGCCTCTGTATATGGGTTGGACAATTTGAAATGATAGGATGATGAAACCTGAGAAGATAAGAAAAAGGAGAATACTTATTATTTTTGTACTTGTGATTATCTGAAAACTGGTTTCATATTGTTTCAATTTATTAAAATGATTTAAAATATATCTCCTTAGAATTTTATCTAATATTGGTAAGATATAAACAAACATCATCTATATGTTATAATACACTTTGTTTTTTTATTATTTAAACTCTTAATTGGTAATATTGGTTATTAAAATTGAGGGTATCCAATTTCCCAAATATCTTAGATTTCATGGAATTTTAAAGATGGTGGTGTATGTATTGTGTTCTGTCATGTTTTAATAATATTCTTTTCACTGAGTATGAGGAGAGAAATGTTGCCTCTAAGAGACACTAAATTACCATGGTAGGTCTAAATTGTTTCACAGAAGAGTAATTTTACAGTTATTTACCTCTAAAGAAATTTCCACTTTCTTGAAGTTTATTTTTTATAGAGCAAATGTAATGTAAAAGAATTTTACATTATTTTAGGGAATGCATATTTTGCCTCTTAAAACTTACAGCACAGGTCTATTGTAGAAAAGATGTGTGTGTGTGTGTGTGTGTGTGTGTGTGTGTAAAATGACTACAATTGAAATAATCAACAAATACAATAGGAAAAAAGGCCATCCCTGATGTTTCATGCTGTACTATTTTATACTGTTCTGGATGCCTAAAAGAATCATGACAAGAACTTTTCTAATAGCAAGCAGACAAAACAAGAGCTTTTCTCCTGGCACTTCAAGGAGATTGTTATCTATTTTCTTTTTTAGCACATATTTTTTCATATTAACTTTATTAATTTAATATGCATTCATTTACCTATTTTATTATGTACATAGGTAGAAATACTTCAGAATTTCAGGGTCTCATTAGAAAATCGGGCTTTTGTTGCTGAGAGAATGTAATAATTTTTATTTGCTAAAGGATATTTAATTGTCCTTGTTATTAGCTATCTATCCAGAGGTATCATTTTTAAAATTTACAATTTACCAGAATTATTTACCTTAACCAAAATGTGATCTGATGGTTTGAGACACCTGTCTTATATCTTTGTACAGAGAGAAAGAAAGCAAAACAAATTCTCACCATTTTAGAAGTAGAAGTAGGTCTTAAATCCTTTATGTTTTTACTCAATTTAAACACTGATCCTATCCTATAAAACAAAAAAAGAAAGTAGCATTTTCTCTTAGTATTACTTTTAAATAGTAGTACTAATACTTAAAATAGTGTAATATGGCTCAGCTGCCATGGCTCAGTAGTTGAGTGTTGACCTATGAAACAGGGTATCCCAATTCAATGCCTAGTTTGTGGGCTCAATCCCGTATATGGGGCATGTAGGAGGTAGCCAGTCAATGATTCTCTCTCATCATTTATTTTCTATCTCTCTCTCTCCTTTCCTCTCTGAAATCAAGAAAAATATATTTTTAAAAAAGAAAAACAGTGTAATTAGAATAATAATTCTCTCACAATATGAGTAAATAAAAGAATTATTAAATTGGGCATCAATCTGAATCTAGATAAAAATTTCAACAGATCATGCAAGAAAATCGAAATAAGAAATACTAGAAAACAGATCCATATGCTACTAGATAATTTACAAAAGGAGAAACAGAAACATCAAAAGTAAGTAAACTATGACCTTGACAAATGGAGAGTTGGATGTATACATTAGCTGAACATTTTAAAAGCTGAAGTTCCTATTTCCACTATTAAGTGGAAATTAGGAAGATGGTGTAAATACACATTGTGTCATCAGAAGATTTTTTTGCAGTCAATAGAGAAATGCTGAGTCAATTTTACTAAAAAGTGATTTCTTGTTCCCTTTCTATCCCCATCTTTGGTTTATTTTTGGTTGACATGAGGAAAAAAAAGAAAGATTAAAGTTAAATAAGAGAAAATTTTGGGAAGCATTGAACAAGATAAAGAATGTTGGGAGGAAGAAATAAGCACATCTTTTTACAAATGGAACACTCAGGGCTATATTAGAAATATAAACGTTTTGAGCACATATCAATGGCATAGTATGTGTGTATGTGTGTGCGTGCGCGTGTGTGCGTGCGTGTGTATGTGTATGTGTATGGGGGGTGTAGATTTATATAAATGAAAGCAACAGAATTAGACAAGCTCAAAATATTTTTGAAGAAACTATTGTTTGAAGAAACTTTTCCCCCAATAAAAGTATACTTAAGAATACTCTGTAGCCAAGACCGGTTTGGCTCAATGGATAGAGCGTCAGCTTGGGGACTGAAGGGTCCCGGGTTCGATTCCAGTCAAGGGCATGTACCTTGGTTGCGGGCATATCCCAGTAGGGGGTGTGCAAAAGGCAGCTGATCGATGACTCTCTCTCATCTATGTTTCTAACTATCTTTCTCCCTTCCTCTCTGTACAAAATTAATAAAATATATTTTTTTAAAAAAAGAATACTCTTTAATATTTTAAGAGTATTCTTAAGTAGACAATTTTTTAAGTAAGCATGGCTGTGAAGCTAAGCATTTCTGAAATTCTTGTTTTGAAATTGAACAAGCAAGAGATTTGTAGTTTAAAAATTAATACTTCATTATGAAATATCAACCATTTTGCCTTTGTTTCAGAAAAGATTCCACAGAAAACAGAGAAGCTTTTCCTGAGGGGAGAACCAAGGCTCAAGCTTCCACGGTGAGAACAGGAGTAGTGAATCAAAAACCCTGGAAAGTATCGCAATGCTAAGGAAAAATTAAACCTATTGATTTGATGAATTCATTTACATGATGATTGACAAATTATCATCCAGGTTCCACTGCCCAGTTTTTATGGGGAGAGGGAGGGAGAGAGGAGACTCTGGTAGCTTGGCCTACTGTTTATGTGCTGTCCAAAGCCACATTAGCAAGGGAGTGGGGAAGGAGTAGGCTGCCTTAGAAAACATCCTCTGGGCTGGGTCTCCAGCTTGCTTTGAACTCTTGTTCATCATTATTTTATGTGGCAGCTTGTCTTTGTGTTGGTGGAAGGGAGAGAAAAACAAGACTGCCGTTAGGTTCTAAATCAAATTGCTGCGCTGCAGATTGCTGGAGAGGCTTTTCAAAGGCAAAGCCAGTGGGAACATTATCTTTGTCTCCGTGGACTAGGAACTGAGGAGGGGTTTTTTTTGGGGGGGTGGGGGGGAAGGGGTGGTTAAATTCTCATTAGAAAACGTGCTTTCTTTTTTAAACATATCTTACATTCTTCCTAAAATATCCTCAGTATTATTTTTCTTCAAATTGATTGGCAGTTGGAGAAGATAAGTAGGAATCTACAAAGGGTGCGAGGAGGCCTCCCCTGTCATAGAATTTCATAACCGGAAGAAACCTGGCCATTACCCCTAACACACTCCTTCTTGATTGTGAGCTCAGGGACCAAAGACATTCAATCAGCTGCGTAAGACTCCAACCAAGAAAGTCAATAGACCCTCCTTGCTGGATCCCCACTGCCCCTTCTTTACATTGCCCTATGCTGCCTCTAGCGTTAGGCTGAGAAAAGGTAAGAAAGGGTGGGAGCGAGAGAAAGCGAGGAAAAAGCTAGAGAGGGTCGGAGAGCAAAAAGGAAAATACCTGAGTCAGGATGCTAGAACATCTGCTTGGATAAAGAGAAGCAGCTTGTTTGTCCCAGGCAGTGCGCGCATGGAACAATAGCTACCACTGAGCATCTGTGGGGCTTCTTTTCAACTTTGGAAGATGAGCCTAGGGAAGAAAGCTCATCTCTTTCCTCTGGCCCTCCTCGCCTTCTACTTTTATCCAAGTGACTCTTGCCTCCAGCATTTCGTGGGCTTGTTCTTGAAAAACACCCCTCCTCACCTGTGTCTTAAGGTGTCTTGCAATCCTCTCGCCCCTCATATTTCCCAAGTTGTTATCCTGGGCTTTCTTAAACTGTAAACTCAAGCCTCGCTGGCACCTTAGGTGGATTCCTTATATTCCTGCCACCCGCCTACTCTTATTTAGACCCACTGCGAAGCCCCTCAAAGAGCATTTGTGGAGAAGAAAGGGTGTGTGTGGTGGCTGCTGATGGACACCTAAAAAGTGGTAGAAATGGGGCAGGGGACCGCATCTGAACCCTTTCAGAGGCGAGGAGTGGGAGCAGTCTGCCTGCGCCTGGTGCCCTCCTGCCCCGGTGAAGGCTGGCACAATGACCAGCCGGGAACTGGTGGTGCCGCCGGTGGACCAAGGCGACGCACAGGCCTGGAGGGCGGCGCGGAGGGTGGCGTTGGCAGCGTGAAAGGGGTCTTTGTGCAGGACTTGGTGGGGTGAAGGGGTGGTGAGAGGCCTGAGCCAGGACCTGAATGAAGGCTGGGGTTTTGGCACACCGTTAACTTTGCCATTCCTTAGTCGCGCTGGAAAGACCTGGGTAGTGCCGGCAGGGGGCGGTGTGGTGCAGGGTGGGCGGGAGGCCCAGGTTTTTTTTGGAGGTTTTTTGTTGTTGTTGTTGTTGTTGTTGTGTGTGTGTTTTTTGACACTGAAGGGGGAGAAAGCAGGTTGGAACTGAGGGATTGGCCTCTCCGCCCCCTCCCCTAGGTGTCAGAGAGTTCGCGCTGATTGCTTGGGTGCAGCCTCTCGCCCTGCGCTCACTCGGCGTCGGGGAGCGGGGAGAGCGGTCCCCAAGGCGGAGCCTCCCTCCTGGCCCCCGGGTACCGCTGCCCCCACCGGGAGCGGGGAGGCGGGCACCGCGCTGCCCTCCCTCCGCGCCCGGCCGGCCGCGTGGCTTGTGGCTTATTTTCCCAGCTGGCAGGCGTCGCGCTGCAGACAAGGGAATGCCTGTGGTGAGTTGTTTATTTTGTTGAAGTTTGCGGTGGGCCGGGGGGACGTGGGGGGCGAGCGGCAGGCAGCGGCCGGAGCTGTTGTGTTTAGGTCTCCGTCCACCTGTGTGGTATAAATTTGCCAGCCTCCGGGCGGCAGGGGGCCGGGGTGCGAAAACCCCAGCTGCTCCGCAAGGGCCCCCCTCGGCCACTTGCAGATCTAGAACCACGTTTGATTCTCCGCTCCCGGAATCCGCTAGATCCTGGCTCACACTCCCCCTCTCCCCGAGTCCCCGATCGGTGCCCCCGCTCCTAAGGGCGGTCAGCAGCCGCCACCCCGCAGCCATGCAAGTTCCTCCCCCAGAGGACCAGGGAGCTGGGGTTTCGATGTGAGGGGCGGCTCCGTGGACTTAGCGGGAACTTGTTTTGGCTGCTTCTGGCATGAAGTCCATGCAGGGTCTACCCGGGACTCCAAACAGGGATCCTGGCTGGCCAGCGTTCCCCAGACCTGAGGCTGCGGGGAGGTCTGCTGTTGGCTCCCCCGGGGGGAACCTGGAGGAAGCCCAGGGACTGATGGCAGTCACAGCCGCGGCTGGCTGCGTTTGCCTGGAAGAAAAGCCTAAAACACATTAGCGCGAGCTGGGAAAGCTTTTAAGGCCCTTTTCGGGGAGCGAGTGGCTGGCTAATGAGAGGTTAATTCTGTTTCGAAGGGAAGGCTGCGCTGGTTTCCTGAGATAAATGGACAGGAAGCGCATTACCTCCGCGCGCTGGCAAGCGGCTCCCAAATGCTTTTTGCACCTGCCGCTCCGAGCGGCGCGGACGGTGGCGGCGGCGCCCGCGGGGACCGGGGTCCGGCGCTGTGCGCTCCGCTCCGGGTGATGCGCCTCCAGCGCGCCCCGGGCCTCTCCTCCCGGGGGCGCAGCGCTCACGCCGGGCTCCGGGGCCCTTCTCTCACCCCTAGGTCCTGCGTGCGCCCGAGCTCCGCGGCTCCCTGATCCCGCCCAGCCCCCTCCAGGAGCGGAAGGGTTAAACATGATGTAAGTACAACCCAGGATCTGCTTGCCACTGGCCAGCGGTCTGACTCCCGGGCTAATTCAGCCCCGCTTTCCGTACACTGTGGACTGGGGTGGGGGGAGGAGGGGAGAAAGGGGCGGCGGGGGAGCCCTCATTCTAGAATCGGTTGCACAAATCGCAACCTCGGGTCCGAGTCCTGGTTCCTAGATGCCCCAGTTGATCTGTTCAGCAGACTGAGACCCTCGTATTGGATTGCTGGGAAATGGAAATATATGAACTGGGGTGCAGAAACAGAAACCTCATCTTGTTTAGAGTCCATCAGCGTTGCTGGCATGCGTTTTAATTCTACCCACTTGCGCATCATCCCTATTTGTACACTGTTTTGGGTTCATCTTCCCTTCTTGAAAACAAAGACGAAGGGAGAGAGAGAGAGTACAAGTGGCAAGAATCGGGGAGGATTTATGAGTTGTACAAACTGTCACTTCACGGTATTTTTTTCTTATTAAAATGTAAAACTTTTATAAGTCATCAATTTTATGTCTGTGTCCCAGCTCCTCCCCCTAAATTTTTCTTTGTGGAGTCTTAATGCCCTACTCAACTTGCAGCATTGGGGCTGGAGGAGCGGATGCAACCGTTCGCCACGCACACTCTTGCTTTCCGAGTGGACTCGGGATCTTGCTAGCAGGCCGAATTTACCCAGCCAGTGTGTCAACTGAGTTAAAGTTTTGAAAATAGGAGCCAACTTGCGGTTTAATTGTGAAAATTAACATTTTCCTCTTGCCGGCTGAACACTTAGGCGGCAATTTTTTTAAAAAGTGAATTGTTAGGCTTATAAATCTTGAACTTGTCAAATTTTACAACAGAGGAGCAATAAAGCACCTTAGAAGAAATGAAGTTTTTCCTCTAGAGCAGTTCCACTTCACACCAGGATTTGCAGTGACTGGAGGGCGCCCTCTATTGATAAGAAAATCAAGAGCACCCATGTACTTAAGGAACAGGATGGGGTCCGGGTGGGGGAAGGGAATAAAGTAGGAGGGAAAGTCACAGAAATCACCAGGGGTGAAAAGACAAACTAAACTGGATTTGATCCTTATCTCTTGGTTGTGTGTTTTGAAGTATGTTCAATTCAGTGGGATGCTTCTTTATAGCGGTGGAATTAAACATTATGTTAAAGAAAAAGAAACATTTTTTTTATTTTATTGATTTTGTACAGAGAGGAAGGGAGAGAGACAGAGAGTTAGAAACATCGATAAGAGAGAGTCATCGATCAGCTGCCTCTTGCACACCCCCTACCGGGGATATGCCCGCAACCAAGGTACATGCCCTTGACCGGAATCGAACCCGGGACTCCTCAGTCCCCAAGCCGACGCTCTAACCATTGAGCCAAACCGGTCTCGGCAAGAAAAAGAAACATTTTAACTCTTAATTTTTTTACCAAAATATTTTGAAAAGGTGTTTACATTACTTTTAAAAGATGTTTACCAAAATTTCACTAATTTTATTTCATTAATAATGTCATAATTGCAAGAGAGTAAATGTTTGACCTAATAGTATTTACCCTATAGTATTATCTAAAAATCGTATCAGCTAACTCCCCCCCCAAAAAGTCATGTCTCCAGTCAACAGTGAAACTATTATCTAGCATATTGTAGACGTGTGCAAGGCTTGGAGTATATCACGGGCAATGAAAGGTGTGTTTACCACTTGTGTCATCATAGTATGCAGTAGATAATGAAACATTACAGTAAAAAGATAGGCATTCTTTATTAGGGATCTAGTGGTTTGTTCAATTCGTAATGGGTCTAATAAGTAAGCTGGGGTGATGAGTTTGCCCTCAATTATCCTTGGTCCATTGATTTGCACATTGTTACATGTGGAATATTTACATGTCCGCGGTTGATACGCAATCCCTATATAGAGATCCTGAGTAAATGTAGCGGGTAGAGTTGCCTACTGCGACTTGGATATACTGTGAGTGAATTCAGAAAGGCAGCCCTGAGCTATCAGGGGAAAGGCAAAGGCGAGGACAGTAGGAAGTGGCTCCCAGACTTTGAAGCCATTCTAGAGATTAGATACCACTTCACACCTACTGATAACAAGTTAGGACCTATTTTCAACCCCTTTTCTGATCATTAGCTTTTCTCCTCGTTTCTTGACCCATCCAATTGCAAAAGTAGAAACTGAACTGTCATTTAATTAATCTGCTTTGAATTTGTGGAAAAGCCACTAAGCAACAGCACATATGGCGTAATTACTCTGCGCTGCGTTAAAGGCTGGCTATCGTCATTAATCTAATTACACTGTAAAGTGTAACCGAACACGTCGAAGTTCTGCAACTCTCAGACCCCGCCCAGCCGCTTTAGGGAGGGAAATGTCAAAGGCAGAGCATTACCGGAGCCACGCACTGCTGCCTGGCACCTTCCCAGTCCATCTGATCCGTTCCGACCCGCGGATCACTTTCTGATTTGCAAAGTGGCTGGATGCTAGCTTTCCCCGCAGTAGGTTCGAAACGCGGTTCTGCAGAGGTGATTAGGAGCGAAGGAATTTGCCACCTGGCGCTGGATAAAAAGCGCCCTCTTTTCCTCCAAAGAGCTGGAGGTGGAAGGGCAGAGTGGGGTGATTAAAAAAAAAAAAAAAAAAAAAAAAAAAAAAAAAGGGGGGGGGGGGAAGAAAAACTTGGGAGTGAAGTTGAAGCCAATAACATTCATTCAAGAAGCCGGTCAAAGGCCGGTTCCTTTGTAGCGGCGGCCAGAGAGAGCGGCTGCCGCCTCTTTCTACTGGATTCGGGGACGCAGTACATCGCGGCAGGGCGGACGGGAGAGGAGGGAGAGCGGGGAAGAGGCCGGGCCGCCCTGGCGCGGTAGACGGGACGCGCAGCGGGCGGGCGCGGAGCTCCCACTGAACCGCAGAAGGCAGGAGGCGGCGTGGGGGGGCGGGCGCTCTGAGCCCCGCAAGCGGCGGGCTGGGTCCACCGGCCTTGCGCTCGCAGCCAATGGGATGGGAGGGCGGGGGTGGAGACGGCGCGGATTGGCTGGCGCGGGGAAGGCGGGGCCGCAGTGAGGGGCTGAGATTGATGGGTCCGGGCGCCGCCGCGTAGAGATCCGGGCGGCAGGCCGCTGCTCGCCGTGGCTGGGTGCGCCTCCTGCCGGCCCACGCCCGCGCTCCACGCCCGCGGAGCCCACGCTGGCCCTGGCCGGGCGCTCGCGGTCTCGGGGCCGGACTCCGCACGCGCTCACGGTCTTTGTGTCTTCTCTCCTCCCGCTCCCGCTCCCTCCGGCCGCCGCTGCGATGCCGCTGCGCCCCGTCGTCGCCGCCGCCTTCTCGCTCCGCCCGCGGCGCGCTGCTCGCTGCTACGGCGGTGGCGGCGGCCCGTCCCCGACGCGGGCCTGAAGGAGGAAAAAGAGGAAGCGAGGCGCGTCCCCCGGCCCATGCCGCAGCCACGGCCCCGGCCCCGCCACGGCGCCCGCACCGCCGCCCTCGCCGGAGCCCACGGGACCTGCATGGACGGGCATGGGCTGGAGAGCAGCACCTTCCTGCGCCGCCGCCGCCGCCGCCTCCACCGCCGCCGCCGGGGCTGAGCCGCGCCGCCGCCCCCGGCCCTGCCCGCCGCCGCCGGCGCCGCTGCTGCCGCTGCTGCTGCTCAGCCTCGGGCTGCTCCCCGCAGGTACGAGCGCGTGCGCGCGGGCCCGGCGCAGGGCCGAGCGCTTTGTTCGCGGCCCCCGGGCTCCGAGGCGCCGGCCCGGGCGGGGGCGGCGGGCGGGCCGGGCGAGGCCTCGCGGGCCCCCGGACGGGCACGTTGGCCGGGCTGGCGGCGCCGCAGCGGGAACACACACACCCGGGGCGCCGGGGAGGCCTCTTTCCTCCCCCGCCCCCCTCCCTCCAATCCCTCCGGCCCTCCCGGCCCCAGGCTCGGACCGTGGGTGAATCTCCCCTCCAACAGCCGCCTATCGGGGCGGTAGGGGGCGGGCGGCAGCCCGGGACAAACGCTCCGGAGGCTTTATTGCTCCCCGCGCTGGTGTTTACCGAAAGGCAGCGGGATCAGGTTTCCGCGCCGCCGCCGCCGCCGCGGGGAGACAAGGAGCCTTGTGCTGCCGCTGCCCTGGGGTGGGGGTGGCGGCGGCGAGGCGCAGAAATCGCACCAGATGGAAAGATTTTTTCACCAGCGTTTGTTAAAACTGGAGGTTAATGTCGAAGTAACTTAACATGTTTTCAAACAAGGGGTTTCTTTCGTGTTTGCGAAAGCTGCTTTTTCATCCAGCTTTCCGTCTCTTTGGGAAAGAAAACTCGTGCTTCGTGGCTGGCTGGCTGGCTGCGTGTTCAGGAGGGGTTGCTTGACAGATCCGCTGCCTTCTGGAGCCTGTGATACTATGTGTCTGTTTAAAATCCTCTCACTGACACAATGTTAAGTCTCAAACTTTCTCAATAAAACTGGGGGGGGGGGGTGGAAGGGGTGTGTCAATATCTAGGATGCTCTTTGCAAACTAAGACCACTTCTAGGAGTTAGTCTAGACAAGTTTTTAAGTGCGGAATTGAAATAAATTGATTTTTTAGTTGGAGAACTGTTTGTCGTTAGATAAGTGTGTCTCCCCCCCCCCCATCATTTTGGTCCTGTATTTGTATGATAGTAGTCATAATGCTCAGATCTGGAGAACCCTGAACTTTAAAGCCACCCAACTGTGGGGGGTGGGGGGTGGCGGGAAAGGGTAATTTTTATTAAGTCATACCAGCCGGTGCTAAAAACCCTGAAGTTCTTCTAAGTAATGGGGGGTGGGGTGGGGGGGGGATGTGGCATTTGAGGAGAGGGGCTTAATTTACTTTGTGTAACTGCATTGTGATGGAACAGCAGCTGCATTTTAAGTGTCACTTGGGAAAACAAACTGAAATCTTACTGAAGAATGTAGTGATTAAGCCTTTCAATTAGTGACTTTTAGAACTTTGGAAAGTAATGTCAATCTGCTTAACAGTTACATGGAAAAATTTCATGACAAGTCAAAAGATATAGTCGGGGTTGTTTTGTGTGGGAAAAAATGTGTCTATAATGTTCAGGCGTGGGCTTTTTGAAATGGGAATTGGATTTGCTAGGTGGGACTGTGTGTCCCTCTTGTCCGCTGGGACATTGTTTCCCTTGGTTGCTGTAGGGTCCCATGACAGGATTGGAATGTGGTCTTTGAGGATTTCTTTGCTGGCCCATGAAAGACCTAAGAAGTTGGTTTTAAAGGTTTAGAAAATTGTGGTGCCTTCGTTCAAGAACTAGGAATGTGAAACTCCTCTCAGTATCTTACTATGCCCTCGCTAAAGTCACCATCAGACTCTACCCAGAATTGCTGTGGTGAGTGATTTCTGCAGACAGCTTGTCCGGAGTGGAGCAATTAATCTGGCTATAGAAAGGAGGCTCCTTTTGAGAGATTTCTTTGAAGAGCGGTGCCATTGAAATGCAGGGGCTGTTTTTCAGAGCAGGGAGCCTAGCAAAGTGCTCTCTGCAGATGGGCCACCATATGTTTTATGCCTGGATCCATATAATTTGCCTCAGCGCCCCATATGGCTCCATATTTCACTTAATTCAGCCTCAGCATATCTCGTTTCTTTTATTATAAACTGGTGATTGTGCTGCAGATTCACACGTGCAGTCCTGGCATTGAGGAAGCTGTTTTAAATGGTGAGGTCTTTATGTCTGAATCATTAAGGAGAGAGCTCTACGCCTGAGAATCCTTTCGCACGTTTATTAACTAGAAGGAAAATGCTGTCACACTGACCACAGATGATCTGACTCAAGGTAACAGATACCTGTAACGGCAGATTTTGAACTCTGCCCTTAAGAAATAAAAAAGGGTGCTTTTATTTGCCTTTTCTTCTCTTAAGCAAACCTCGGCAGTTCCTGACTGGCGATCCAGTATGGGAGATACTTGCTTACTCACACACCTCATGGCCTTCTTGGCTACATCCCTGAGATTGTTTCTGCTCCGCATTGTCTTGGCATTTTGACAGGAGGTTTACTTTACCGCCTGCAACAGGCAAAGTGTGCATTGTCATTATAAATTCATGAAGCCTGGATATTTTTGGGTGTATGCTGCAAATTAGTCATTCTACAGGAGCCTGCGATGAGGCTGAAACTGCTGACCCAAATGCACTCTCACTCTCATTAGCTTTTCTCCCTCCAATCATCTCCACTCCAAAGGGCTGTTAGAAACCTCATCCAAACAAAAGAGCTCAAGGAGTTCTGTGTTATGTGAGATTTCTCAAAGGAATCAGCACCTGCCTGCTAGGAAGAAGGAATGAGGAAGGAATGGAAAGAGGAGCTGGCATCTAAATGCTGCTGCTTTCCTCTTCCCAACAATTGCATCTGCATTGCCATGCTCTTCTGACTTTTGATATTTTATGACTATCTGAAATAATTATAAGTAAATGTACACTCAGATATATTTTATAGACCATAAAAAGAACAAATAGGCACTGCCAGTTTAGCGGAAAGTTCTTGTGCTGTCACTTATTTGTAGTCTGAGGGCTCTTCATTGCTGAGTGATTTGGGCCCAGTTTTTATTTCCTTGCTTTCTGCTTGCTGTGAAAATGACTTAAAAGGGGAAAATGTGATACTGTAGTTACTTAAACCTTTTTTTTTTTTTTTTTTTTTTTTTTTTTTAGCTATCAAGTACCATTTTGAGAGTCAGGAATATAGGGGACATGGTGTGTGAGAAAGGAAAACGGGATTGGGGGAAAGACCCACTTCCTGGGCTTCATACCGCTGTGTATGCTCTGCCAGGACAAAGCCTTCACTTAAAATCCTTGGTTTTCCCATCTGTTAAATGGCTTTAATGACTTTGGGGTGTTTTGTTTGATTTTTTTTTTTTTTTAATTTTGCTTTTGTTTGTTTTGTGGGGGGTGAGTAAAAGTAGTTGAAAAATGACTTGATCTGCTTTGGAGAGAGGAATTCTATAAATATCAGCTGCTTTTGCTAACTTTGCAATGAGCAAACATAAAATAGGCCAGACACAAGATGTCTTTGTGATTAATATTTTATTTTTTTTGACTCAAGTTAAAGTGACTATTCAATCAATACTATAACATTTTTTCCTTTTTGGACTTTGAAATGTAAGAAAATGTTTGGGGAGATATCTTGAGAAGTGGTCATCTCCTACCCTTTTCTCTCCAGCTGAAGCCAAACACAGATTACAGGCTGTTTAATTTGGATGTAAAAGCAGTTTACTACTGAAAAGATTAAAAAATATCTTTAAATAATCTTTATTTAAAAACATTCTTAGTAAGTCTTTTTTAGATGAAGTCCTAAATCTTGATATTATCCTGAACTTTGGTATGCTTATATCTTTGGTATGCTGTTATATCTTATAACAGCACTCTATTGACTGTTTCCTTCCACCTAGAATAAGATATTTTATGCCTGAAAAAGGTCACAAAGTACATTTTAGAGCAACCTCCTCATTTCTCAGATGGGGAATGTTAGACTTGAGGAGATGGAGACTTGCTCCATTGTTCAGAGGCCTATAAAGAATGTGTAACACAAATACTGTTGCAGTTCCTGTCTATAAAGTTTAAGGTGGATGGCAAAGGAAAGAATTTCTCTTTTCAGTAATTCTAGTGTCCCACTTTATGGAGCAGAATAAAAACAAACAAACTAGTGCACGTGACTGACCTAGCATTGGCACTTCTTGAGATTTTTGTGCTTTGAGGGGTTTTATAAATTTTTATGTGAGGAACTAGTGGCAAATCATCATTTGAAAATTGACTTTTTAAAATAGTAGGGCAGTAATACTTGGTTTTCCATTACTTCATTTCATCACTTTGCTGGAGCCATTAAGTTTATATGAATTGTTGATTTAAGGAGAAAATCATTCAGATAACTCTAAGAATTCTGTTGTGTTTAAGGGGGGGGAAATAGTTGGAAACATCTGTTTCTGCAGTGTGATTTCAGTGTCCTTTTTTGTTTAGTGTACTTTTCCTGGTGGAACTGTTTGGGAGCTGGGATCCCAGGGTGATGGACGTCAAGGGAGAAGTGAATACATAGCTTAGTCAAATGTATCTCTATTTTTTTAAGAGAACATTTATACTTCGTGAAAACCAGGAGATTAAGTGACAAATGGTAAACAATTTGTTGATATACCTCTATCAGGAAATGCAGAATAATTTAGTGCCTGGATTTTTTTTTTCTTCTTCTTCTTGTTATTCTTTCTCTGTTAGCTGTACTAGAATCAGGTAAAGATGTTTTAGCCAATCATGCTATAATGTAGGGGTTTCCCCTACCTGAGTGGTGGAAGTTTTAATTGTGGTTTTGTGCACAGACAGTGCTTCCCAAAGCAAATTACTTATGCAGTTTTCAAAATCAAAACAAAGTTCACATCTTTTGCTTGGCCTTAGAGCATAGCAATCTTTCTCAAAATCCATAAACAACAGCAAAGTTGGTAAAATTGTCATGTACAATGGCCGATGCTATGAAGTTTTAAGTTAACTGCATGCAGTTTTTCTCCCAGTGGCTTAATTTGTGAGACACAGAAGCACAATGCAACCCTATTTCTGAAAGCCTTCTTAAAATAGGAGGATATGAAATAGAACAAACAGTCCCCAGAGGAGAATGTCATTTTCTCATGTAGCTCAGGAAGTTATGAAGCGTTTTAAAAATGTGTGGTCTTACCTTCTTTCCCACAGGTGACTGCCAACAACCAGCCCAGTGTCGAATCCAGAAATGTACCACAGACTTTGTGTCCCTGACTTCACACCTGAACTCTGCCATTGACGGCTTTGACTCCGAGTTCTGCAAGGCCCTGCGTGCCTATGCTGGCTGCACCCAGCGAACTTCAAAAGCCTGCCGTGGCAACCTGGTATACCATTCTGCTGTGCTGGGTATCAGTGACCTCATGAGCCAGAGGAACTGTTCCAAGGACGGACCCACATCCTCTACCAACCCTGAAGTGACCCATGACCCTTGTAACTATCACAGCCACTCGGGAGTCAGAGAACTCAGGGGAGGGGATCAGAACCCTCCTAATTACCTTTTCTGTGGCTTGTTTGGAGATCCCCACCTTAGAACTTTCAAGGATCACTTCCAGACGTGCAAAGTGGAAGGAGCCTGGCCACTCATAGATAATAATTACCTTTCGGTTCAAGTGACGAATGTGCCCGTGGTCCTTGGATCCAGTGCTACTGCTACAAATAAGGCAAGTATACTTTTTTTTTCTTCTTCTTACTTAGACCTTTCAGGTGTCTGACTCTTCAGACAACCTGGGAAAATTGAAAAGGAACTTTGGTCTTCTTGGCAAGCAGTGTTAGCAGGGTGAATGAAGGATTAAATGAAAATTAGCAAGGAGTTTCTTGGTGAAATTCTAGGGCTTATGAAAAATGTGTGTGTGAATTTGAATAGGCAATGATACAGAAAATAAAAAGTGAATGGTAATGTTGGATTCTCCTGTGAAAAGGCAGGCCTGTTTAATGAAAAATTGCTTTTTTCAGTGACGTCTTTTTTAAGTGCATTTGTGTATGACTCGATTTCCATGTTTAGATTTATCAGATTTGACTGATGTAGGTTTTCTGAATAAAGAAAGCTGTGAAGCCTGAGAGCAATAACCCATCAGGAAATATATTTTATTGGAAATTTGGAAGCTCTGGTAAAAGGTAATGGCTATAAGCCAGCTTCCCAGTGGCAAACCTGAAAGTCTGTTAGTCACTGTCCTGTAGTGAACAAGGAAATAAGAATTGGATATTGTAGAGTAGTGATGTATAATCTCAGGATAACAATTTTAGTGAGAAGCTGAGAGGAAAATTGGCAAAATTAAGTTAAGCTTGCCCTTCCTAGCTGCCAGTATTGTAGTTCTTGTTGCTTGGTTGGTTTTAAAGAAACTAATACAGAATCCTCTAAATCAACTTTAAGGCGTCAATATCTTAGTGCAACGATTTTCAACCTTTTTCATCTTGTGGCACACAAAATAACTACTAAAATTCTGTAGCACCCCTTGCTGATCACACACACACACACACACACACACGAACACAGGTATAATTTTGATTCATTTACACCCAATGGCTGTTCTGTTGGCTGTTGTTATTTTTTTTAAGTCAGGTATTGCATGTTTTAAAAATTCTTGCCCTGGCTAGTGTGGTTCAGTTGGTTGAGTGTTATTCCATGCACTGAAAGGTCACAGGTTTGATTCCAGGTCAGGGAACATACCCAGGTTGCAGGTTCAATCCCTTGTTGGGGTGCTTGTGGGAAGCAGCTGATCCATGTTCCACTCTCACATTGCATATTGTTTTTTTCTCTCTCTCTCTCTCCCTTTTTCTCCCTCCTCCCCCCCTCTTTCTCTCTCATAAATAAAAAATTTAAGAAAAAACATTCTTGCTAAGTGCATGTAGTACATGCTAGGAACTAATTGGGTTTTCAATCGCCAGTCGGCACTAATTCATTCACTAGTAAATAAAGAGGTCGCAAGAGTTTTCCATAATAAATAGTGTCCCAAGTAAGCAGCTCCTTCCCTTTCTCCCCAACCACAAAAATCACACATGTAGACTATCATCTTGCTTAATTTCCTTTATTTATTTTGTCTATTCATCAGTTGGCTTATACTAAAATATAATTGACAAGGATCAATCTTTTGTAATACTTATGACTCTCCTTTTGATTCCAGGACACCCTCCTTTGCCTCCAAACCTGTGTGGTATATTTTTAAAGTGAATTTTAATTATTTTACTTGGAATTTTGTGGAGGGAGTTTGTAACACCTCCAGAGATATCTGGAGACACCCAGGGGTGTCACATATCTGAGATTAGAAGTCATTGCTCTGAACAAAGTCTATTACAGTGGTGCAGACATGTTTACACTTCAGTCCCAGTACAAGCCCAAGCTGGCCTTTCCAAATCCTACATCTCAAATTTTCCTTTTCTGGTTTTTATAAGTGTGCAAATTTTTATATCTGTACATTAAAATATGTACTTGCTATGTTTTGATGTAAAGTTATATAATTATGAAGTTTTAGGACAAGCCATGGCCAAAAATCCATCATTGAAGCAGTCAGGTCACAGAACCTGAGATTAAGTCTTGGGGAAAACGTTAACACTGGAAATTCAAGAAGGCAGTTCCATTGGGAATGGGGGAAATCAGCAACGATTGTGCAAATACTTGAGGACTTAGAGAGGTGGTGGTCTTTAAACAATACTATCGAGATTTATAGGTGCTATGTGCATGGGAAAATGTTGGTTCAATGGAATTGTTGACACTGAATTGCTTTGTTTAGATAATTCCATTTCAGTTGTGGTTAAGCCTATCATAGTTTTTAGTAAATAAGCAAGTAAAAGGTACACCGTTTTATCTCTTACAGTTTAAGGATCAAAGGTTTTATCCATTCTAAAGAAATGAGGTTGGGGGTCTTGTCTTGACATAAATTCAGGCCAATGATGAGAATGCTTGGTCTTTAATTGCACTATTGGAAAGTATTTCCCCACATCTGGTTACCATGCTGTTAAACAAATTACTCTATGGCTTCACGACCTCTAGTAGTTGTTTTTTCCCCCTTTTTTGTTGTAACTCTCTCCAAAGCCCCCAGAAGCATCTGGAAGGTTACTGTTGAAGGTCTCTCTCAATGCTGGTTTGACCTCTGCTGATGAAAATAAGAGAAGACCTAAAATTTTGCAATACAATTTCCTTTTATCTACCCAGGGCCAAAGTAAAACCTATTTAAAAAAAAGTCTAAGCAATGAAAAAAGGATGGTAATAAAAGTAAAAACATTATGAGGCAAAAAGTACTTATGAAATAAGTTCAAAAAAGAATCTGTTTTTTCCCCCCTTGGTATCTATGCAATAGTATAAAAAAAAAAAAAAAAAAAAAAAACCTTTCAGAAGATTTTTTTTTACCAAAGCTTTGTACACATACGTAGACCAGCTATTGGATAACCTAGCATTGCATTTTGCAGGTACTGTGTCATCCTTGTGGTCAAGTGTTTTTAATGACCCATGTGCTTAGTGTCATTAGCTTTAAGACTGACCAATGTTATTGATGAAACTGATCAGCTAGGATACTGAAGTCATATTTAAGCATCTACTTATTTCCCTGCCTTCAGCACTGAACTCAAGCACTAGACCTGGGTATTTGGGAAGTAAGATCCTTAAAACAATTCTTTATCCTAGAACCTGGCTTCTTGAGCAAGCACTTTCAAGCTTTTTTTTTTTTTTTTAATATATTTTATTGATTTTGTACAGAGAGGAAGGGAGAGAGATAGAAAGCTAGAAACATCGATGAGAGAGAGTCATCGATCAGCTGCCTCTTGCACCCCCCCCCCCTACTGGGGATATGCCTGCAACCAAGGTATATGCCCTTGACTGGGATCGAACCCGGGTCCCTTCAGTCCCCCAGCCGACGCTCTATCCATTGAGTCAAACCGGTCTCGGCTACTTTCAAGCTTTGCTTTGTGAGCTCTACCTGACCTTCAATGCCCACTTTCCCTTATCTCAAAAATACAAAACTTAGTTGGGGGATATGTAAACAACAAAAGGAAAGAAAAGTGAAGTCCTCTGTACTCCAGGGACCATTTACTAGCCATGCTTTCCCCCTTTCCACATGCAGGCAGTGAGCTCAGGGCAGCTGGGCCTGCAGTGCTGGCCAGTGCAGCCCGGTCTCCCCATTTGTCACGGTGAGCGCAGGTGTGCTTTCTAAGGGCCTCCAGGGTTTTATGTCCTCTGCCAGGCTGCGAGGCTCCCTCTTTGGAGCAGACTGTGTGCTTGGCCATCTTGCCAGGCAGGAGTGTTCCGAGGCCAGGGCTGGTTTTTCATCTCTCCACCCCTCGGGGCTGCAGGGGTTTCTGGCACAGCTACACACCTGGGCTGAGATCCACATCAGCTCTGGGCCATCTTCCCCACCTTTGGCTTGGAGAGGCGGCGCTTCAGACCTGCAGGCACTGGGGGAGAGATGAGAGGACAAGCTCAGAACTGGCAGGGTTGGTTACTTGGGAAAGAAAAGCAGTTTTTGTTTGGGGGGAGGAATAGTTCACACTAGGCTCCAGGCGGACACACCAATGAACAAACAGGTCATCTGTGGAAGTGCTTGACTCCTTCCTGTACCTTCTCTTCCACATTCCCCTGGCCAGTCCCTCAGTCTCAACTCCTGTGTGCTTCTGTGTATCTCTGTTTAAGTGGGCGCAATAAAGATTTGTATATGCTATGATTATAGAAAGTGATTTTGATACAAATTATTTTATGAAAGGATCTGTATTTTGCAAATATGCTATATTCCTAATATTATTATTTATTAATATAATTAAATATTCCTAATATTTAATTCCTAGTATTAAAATAACAGTTCTGGAGAAAAAAATCCATTCCTGAGGTGCATTTAAAATTACTCCTTTTCAAAAAAGTTTCAGGTATACATTTATTGCACACCTAAACAATGGTGTTATTTTTAAAAATTATTTTTCAAAAGTAATTTAGATACTTTTGCTTTGCTTTTTATTTTTCTTTTATTGCATGTCCTTTCCCATCTCTTTAGCTTTTTTATCCTCCAGTTTCATTGAGACAGAATTACAAATGTCGGGGGTGGTAAGCTGGAGATGACAGATTTTCCTGTGCTTCATCCTTCAGTGAGAGAAGGTGGTTTACCATAAGGCAGTTTGCATTTGGGAAAGAGTTGTGTTCTTTGCACTTGACCAAGCCAGGTAATTGTTGGCCAGGTGAGTGGACACTGAGGTGCCTCAGATGTTCTTGCTGTCACCACGGGCCACCAGCTTCAAGTTATCCCCATGGGCAGTAGCACTCAACTACCCAAAGCATGAGAAGAGATCCTTACCCTTCAAGTTTCTCTCTCTATATATATATATTTAAAAGTTCCTAATTATCCCTAATTCTTAAACTCTTTCTAGAAATAATGAAAACTTTCACTGGGATGATGATGGGAGGTACAGGAAGACTTAGTTCGTTGGTTCATTCTTGCTTACTATGTACTTCAAACTGTAAACCCAACATGTTCCCTTATTTGCTTGTAGGGTCCTAGAGCATGCATTGGGTCCTCTCTTTCTTTCTGGTGCCTCTTTGCATGTAGCTGGCATATAAACCTGTATATGGCATGTAAACCTATTGTGGATCATTCTGTTGGTTACAAAATCAGAGAGTTATGATGTGCCTGCATTACGAAGTCTTTCCGCTGTCATTTTAAGCATATCTCTGGATCAACGTTTA